TTTTTTACTAAATTTGCTGATTTCGTCAATTAATCAGAATTGCTGAATATCCGTGCTAATAACGGCCTTATAAAATTTTACTTAAATCATCACCCCCCAACCAAAAGTTAACTCCTAGGAGGTTTAAAGTGAATTAATTATATGCAATATATTTTAAAGTTGGGTTTAATTAAAAGAATAAAAATTAAAGAGCTTTACTTTTAAGAAAAGTATTTTATATTCAACTTTTGGAATAGGAGCTGCTGTGCTGACATGTAGACAGTGTGATAAACAGGGTGCAAAACTATGTTGTCACTAAATTTGAACTCAGTGTATTCACCCATATAGTCTACGAGCATGTTATATAATATTTCAGTTTCTCATTATTGCCACGTTAGCTACTTCACTTCTTACTGCTTTTGGGCCATTAAAAGTGTTTCGGTCTAAAACATCCTATAGCTTTTGCCACTTTTATCTTTCTCAAGCCACTAGTGGCTTTTCCCAATCATGAATTAACTTTAAGTAACTCCTTAATTTCAAGAATTGGCAATAGACTGGATTACTTGGGTTGAGGCAAAGCACATAAGGGCTATCTGCATAACATAAACTGATTTGTATTCACTTAACACATGGGGAGGACGAAGAAAAACACCCAAGGCAGTCAGCCTGTTTGACTGGGTTCGAAGTACCAATGTTCAACAGTTCACTTAATTGTACTTTCCAAGAAGCTTGAAATGCCCAAGTGCTCTGTAATAAGAAAAGCTTAGACTATTTTATATTTTTATGACTAATTATTATTATTTTTTAATTTTTGAGAATCTACATACCAGAATAGTATAAACACAGTTACTTGATTCCATGACGACATCATCACTGAAACAGATACCGAGGCAGAAATATTTTGTTTTATATTTTATATCTATTGGCAAAATTATGATTATTCAGCTATGGCAAAGCATGCAAGGACTATCTTCTCAAAGATAGGAATATTATTATGGGAAAATCTTTTAAGAGAAATTGACTCGTATACATATTAAACATGGAGAAAATAACAAAATTTAATAAGTTAAATTTTGTTATTTTCACACAGTTAAATTTATGTTCATTTATTGAAATTTGAACTTAGGTCAAATACCTAGTGTCCAGTAATTTTGCTGTCCAGCAGGATGGGTGCATTAGAACTGAAGTCGGATGTTGTCAAAAGTGACAAGCTTTAATATAATTTTGATCAGGATTTTTTTTTTGTTTTGTTTTTTGGTGTGTGTGTGTGTGTATGTGTGTGGTCACATATGAATAATCATTCAGTGTATATATCGCACCAGCAGTGACTTGAGAGTTTTAAGGGAAACAAATGTCGTCATACTATTGTTGATCACACAGTTGAATTTATGTTCATTTGTAGTTGCACTGAAATGAAAAATCTGGCTCTAACTATGTTGGTGCTAACATAAGAAAATATGTTCTTAAAATACCAGTGGCGTAGCTAGGGTGGGGCAAGGAGGGACAGTTGTCCCTAAGTGCAGAATCCAGGGGGTGCCAAATTGATGATATGAAATTTTAGAATGAAATGTTTCCACTCTTGGCACACAAAAAGGGACGCAAAATCTTCAGTTGTCCCCGGGCGCTGAAGACCTTAGCTACACTTCTGTAAAATACCATCCTGAAAACCATACCTACCTGCAGAAAACATTTAAGATGATTTATTAAGTTTAATTACTTTTCAGTATTAATTTTTAATCTATCAAGTTGGAAAAAATTTTAAATCTCCCTAAGATGACCATCAATGGTTCCAAAGATTTTTGTGAAAATATATGAAGAAAATCACAATTAATAACATTCAATAGTTTTACTTTATAGTTAATATCAGAGATAGTCACTGTATTTAATAGTATTTAAATCCTTTAATCATCTTACTTCTAAAATACCATCATATTAAATATTTTCTTGTCATTTTAAAAAGCTGACATATTTAAGTCTTTTTTTTTTTTTTTTTACCTTGTCAAATATATTTTTAGGTCATTTTATATTCTGGCTAAAACAGTTCTTTCAAGTACTTTCACACAGATATTTTTAACAATTAAAACATGTCTTGATTCATTTGATATTAAATTTAAAAAAAAAAAAAGAAAATTTTTGTATAAATTGTTAAAACAAAAATACATTAACTATATGGAATATTAACATTCATATTTTTTTTTTTAAATAATGGTCATTTATTTACAAAAATAGTTCAGATTTTTATTTACAATTAGCACATAAGTATACATAAATGAATATTAGTTTGCTAACACACTAAAAAAAGGCAACACTAAGCAAGCACTTAGAAAATGAACAGACATCATCAGTTCACATGTAAAATATAAATCAAAGATTAAAAAGATAATTATGAGTAATCATTACTCAAAAGAAGTATCGGATATAATTTTTGTTTTAACTAGGCATATAAAATACTAAACAGAGTAACATTAGGAAAAAAAAAAAACTTTTGGTTTCAAAACAATAAATACTGAATAAAAAAGTTTAAACCATATCAAATAATTATTTATTTATTCACAATATAAAAATATATGCTATTATTTTTCATACTTGTTGCCCAATGATTACAATTTAATGGTTATTTGAAAGTACATTAAAAAAATCCTTAAAAAATTGTGCTTTATTATTTACAAAAGAAAACTTCTGTTAATATATATATATATAAAAAATAGTTATATAAATTTATAGTTCCTAATGATACTATAAAAAGTAAGATATTATTGATTATTAGTAAAATGGAAAGAAATTTAACCATTTTATATTAAAATTTAAAAAAAAATATTTTTAAATATGTAGTAGTATTCCAAACTTTTATTGATAAGTTCACTTTTTTTTTGTTGTTGTTTTTCCGAACATATATCATTATTATTTTAGATTTAAAATCTGTAATTTCAATACAGTGAATAAAATCAAAACATGATTTTTGCAATAGCTACATTACAATGTAACCACATATTTATTCCTTTGTATCCTGTATATGAATAATGTAAACTGAAATATAAAGAATTTCCCAAATAAAAAAAAATAAAGTGTTTTAAAACTTGAAAATGAGTTAATGTACTACATACATATCCTTCAACATTAATTTATAATATATTAAAAAGATTTGAGCTATATTATGTTTATAATTTTTTTTAACTAAAAACTCTAGAAATTGAATAGTATGATTCTAGAGACAAGTAATATATGAATTTAAAAAAAAAATCTACTCCTGCCCATTGTTCTGTGTGTGTGTGTGGGGGGGGGTCGCAATGTGAAACCAGCATGCATCTGGGACTTTGAAACTTACTGAGGTAGTAGGGAAAAAAAAACTTACCTTTTTCCGTGCGCATTTCCAATAAATGACGAAATTTACGAATTTTAAAAAATGTATGTAAGAATTGCATTATATGTAAATTTTTTACATTATTTTACAAAGTAAATCGTCAGGAAAAATTTTAAAATAAACATTTATGTAATTTTTCTATAGCAGTTAAAATATAAGTACCTACATAATAAGGACGTTCGGATAAATGGATAAAAAAACTCAGTGTTGTTTTTTTTTTAAATTTCAAAGAATACTTTTTTTTTTTTTTTTTTTTTTTTTTTTTTTTTTTGTGACACTGTTCAAAGCGTGTTTAGTCTTTTTGGTACATGCACAGACCCACATTGCACATTTCGCAAATGTATCTTGTTCTAGGAGGTTTCTTCCTTGTGCTACAAAATGTACCCTGCCTAGATCTTCTAAATTTCACTGGTATATGACCAGCGATATTTAGTTTCTTTTCATTTGGCGCATGAAATTTGTGTTTTTTTTTTTTTTTTTTATGTTAATGGGGGGAGGTCTTTTTGGCTTTCGTACAGATCATTTGTTTCCCATTCAAATTCTGTCCCAAAATATTTAGAAAATATTTTTAAAGTAAATAAAACTTGTACACAATTTCTATTTTTAATTATAGCAAAATATACTTACATTAAATTTAAACCGCACCAAATAATTTATAAAATCACAATACTAGCTTGGGAAGCAAGTGTATTGAGTTCAGAGAAAAGGTGCATGTATTGTTTAGTAATAAAATAACTCTGTGCCAAATAAAATAAAAACATCTGCCCTGAAGATAAGGATAGTGCTGACAGATCAACTTCCAATTGATTGCGCGCCGCCTCATTTCCCTCCTCCTGCACAGCAGCGTGAAATTGATAAACATATTTCGGAGTGATTAGATAAATCAAAGGATATGCCTTTTATCCACTTTTTTGCAGCAATTCCACTTTTTGTTTGAATGGACATTCCAAACATACTTTCGCTTTGTAGTAGATCCTTTGGCATATTAGCTAAATATATATCGGAAATTCTATTTGACATAATTGAAAGTTCAAGCTTACTTTTATAAAATTGCTCTAACAGTCTGCAAAAAATAATAAGCCGCATCCACATTGAAGATTAAGGAACAACGTAATCTGCAACATTAACTGAATTAGATAATTTTAGCTTAGCTTATACCGGCCGTTATAAATTAAACGTGCATGCGTAAAAGTATAATGCGCATGCGCACACGCATATTCGCAGCCATAAAGGTCTTACGCGCACGCGTAAACGCCTATGCACATGCGTCGCGTTTGTAACTTTTTTGAGGTCCGGATTATGGGTGTCCGAATTAATGACTTTTGACTGTACTAAGACTTAAAACATGCATGATTCTGAAGTCATTTTGTGTTATTTAGAGGTAAAAATCTGTAATCAATTGATTTTCACTCAAAGATTTCGGAAAGAAGAAAATTGGTGGTTTCAGGGCGCGACCACTGCGTCAATAGGTTAAAACACAGATCACTAAGCAGAATTTAGTCTTAACAATTACCAGCTAAAAATTAATTATAACAGAATTTTAATCATTCAAAATCTGACAAGTCTTGGAAAATATTACCTACTGATACTAGTGTAATCTATAATCATAAATCTGCAATGAATTGCTAAATTATAAAAAAAGACCTTTTCGAAAAAGATACTAGGTAACCAAATAGCTTTAGATTCATTTACTGAATCATATTTACATAAAATCAACACTTAATGAATTATGCATGACACTGGCTTGATGACGCATACAGAAATGGCACATGTAACAATAACAAAAATATTTGTTCACTTTACAAACTATTATAGGACATTAAGGAACTAGTAAACAATAAATAACACAAGTACTAAAATTATTTAAGTAGCTTATAAAATGATGATGTAAATTTAAGTACTTATTTACAAAAGCCAAATTACTTATAGATTTATATACAAATTTTTTTAATTGAGCTGCCAATACCTATTTTGTACGAACTAGCATAGGTAGGTTAAAAAAAAAGCTTATAACTAAAAAAATCCATACATGAAGTTCCTATTTAAAAAAACTCGCAAGAAACAATTCAGGCACAGTGTTTGTCACATAAAATGTTCTTTCAAAATTTGAATTCTTAATTTATAAAATATGATCACAGCTTCAAGAAATGTCATCCGATAACTCTGCACTTGTTCCAGAATCACCTAAGAGTTTAAAAAAATTATATATTAAAAAGAAGCAACTCTACTGAATTTTAGAACAGCTATTTATTTGGTATAAAATACAGAAATAAATTTTTTTCTGCTCCTTATTTGATTTAATTTGTAATTTAGTTACCACAATATTCAAATACTTATAATAAGTTCTTACCTACCATTTCTTAAATATAATGTTATAAGCAAATAACATTAAAGAGTGATTTTAAATGTCATACTTACTCGGCAATATCACAGTTGCAGCATTTTTACAATCAATCAAACTGCTTTCCTTTATTTCAGGATCTAAAATGTAAAAACCAAGTGTTTGGGTACATAAATCTTTTGACAGAAATACAAGATTTTACACAATTATTAATAATACTGTGAGAGTTTAAAAAATTAACATATTTATAGTCCTATTTAAACTGTGAGAGTTAAAAAAACACATATTTATAGTCTCTTTTCAAATTTAAAAGTTTATTTTATTGCTCAATGTTTATTGTTTTTAGTTCACAAATGTGGTATCTGGCAAAATAGAGCAGGTGCTACTTAGTGTGTTCATGTTTGTCCACCACATTAAAGGATGAGGAATCCTTCAGAACAACTATGAAATTTTAAATTAGTATAAATAAAAACAGAAACATATAAATAAGTATTTTAATTAGGAAAATTCAAGCATGAACTGTTCATAACATTCTTGGAAAATATTTGACCAATGTTGGTAACCTTAATCTTTATACTCAGCATTTCCTCATTTGCTGGAAGAGAATATGTCGATGTAAAATTTTAAATCAGCAAAAAAGCAATAATAATTTGATATAGATTTAAAAAAAAATATTCGTGCTCAGGAGCAGGAGGGAAAAAATTGCAGATTCCCCCCCCCATGTCCGACGTGTGTGTGTGAAAAAGAAGGACCTGCGTCTGATCACCCTCAAAATTGATAGTTTTTCAAAATCTATGTCTGAATAATTTCTGAAGGCATTATATAAGGCTATTGTAACTGTTCATCTTTAAATTCCTTCAGATGTTAATTAAAATCTGCATACAAAAATCAGACTGCAGCTTCTTTTTTAATATTTCATACAATTTTTTAAACTTTTTCAAAATTATAGCAGTAAACTTCTTGAGATGTTTGACAATAATATGAAGTTTTTCAGATAGCAACATTCCTTTCTTTTTTAAAAAGATTCATGACAAGCACTTTAATTAATAAAAATAGGATGATAAGTGTAATAACTTTACATAATTTCTTGCAACGTACAATCTCACATTTCATATGTTCCTTTAACATTGATCTATTTTAGCAAAAAAAGTGAAGTTTTTATCAGTATTAATCCTAGTTAGTAAATTTATGCTTGGTTAGTTAAGTTATATTTAAACAAAATGACAAACATGTTTTATTTTAAATTTTAAGGGGGGGGAGGGATTGTTTAAAAAAGCTATTATTTTAGTACCAAGCATATATTTCAAAACTTAAAAGCTTTTATTGAAATAACTTAAAGGACTGAATTAGAATGACTTAGTTCATTTAGTGGTGGTGAATGCATGGAGAATTTTCTCAACATGGTCTCGCAATATTCTAATTTGCCACATTACATAGCTATATAGTGTTATAAAAAATACATTTATTTAAATTTAATTTTATTGAATTCCACATCAGAATAATATATACTAAGTGACAATATTAACAACAATAAAAAAGAAAAAAAAATGCAAGATTAAAAAGGAGATGTTTACTTTGTCAAACTCTCGTTGTTTTCAAAATTTTTGTGCAAAAAAATATTCAAAATTTCAATTTGTTCAAGTTTCAGTTCTAAATGAATTTGTCACCATTAAAGAGCATCCAAATGAAAATCCTTCACATACCTCTGATTATGCAGTTATAAGGCCTTAAACATCAACATATCTGAATGTGCGATTGGGACAGCCATAGCTTCTCATATTTGGTTAGTGGAAATACCTAATAAACTTTTTCATGGTGAACGAAGAAGGCCCCATTTTAAATGTTTCGGAAAAAGCATGCATATATTTGTGAAGCAGCTAGCAATGCTTTTAGTATTTTGATGATTAATTTGACTGATCCAGTAAAACACATTTTGGCACATCATCCACTACAATACGGAAGTTAACAACACTACCAACCTACATGCAGGCAGTAATTATGTAAATGTCCAGAAAACCCAATTTTGTGGAGCTATGAAGGAAATACAGTCAAAAGTCGTTAATCCGGACTCGTCGGGACTTCGGCGATTCTGGTTTATCGATCTTTCCCGATTATAGATCATCAGTTTAAATCTGGTAAGATGGCATGCAGAAATTATAAAATTAAAAATATGAAACCGTAATTTATGAAATAAAGAACAATTATGATCTAAAGGGTATCAAAATTTACAAAAAGAAAAAGCTTAATATTTATTTGTTTACTTTATTAAACATTTCTTTCAATGTAAGTTGTTTAAGTTGCTTTGTTTTATGTGATAATACTTTCTCTTTAATTCTATTAAACAGACATAATTTCTTGTTTAGTTACAAAGTTCCGCTGTTCAAGTCCTTTAATTGCTGTGTCGAGAAAACCGACTAATTTTTCAATCGAAATTTTTTCGTTTTCAATAACCTCTGTGTCACTTTCTTCACTATCGGAAGCGAATTATAATGACGAGGAACTTGATTTAAATCATATCAAAGACGGAGTACATCGAGATGAAATACTACATTTAGTAAGGAATTATAAGCCAAATAAAATAAAATCATCTGCCCTGAAGATAAGGATCGTACTGACAGATCAAGTCCCAATTCATTGCGCGCTGCGCACAGCAGCGTGAAATTGATAGACATATTTCGGAATGATTAGATAATCAAAGGATATGCCTTTATCCATTTTTTGCAGCAATTCCACTTTCTGTTTAATGGACTTCCAAACATACTTTCGCTTTGTAGATCCTTTACATATTAGTAAATATATATCGGAAATTCTATTTGACATAATCGTAAGTTCAAGCTTACTTTTATAAAATTGCTCTAACAGTCTGCAAAAAATAATAAGCCAGATCCAATTCGAAGATTAAGGAACAACGCAATCTGCAACATTAACTGAATTAGATAATTTTAGCTTAGCTTATACCGTCCATTATACATTAAATGCGCATGTGTAAAAGTATTATGCGCATGCGCACACGCACATTTGCAGCCGTAAAGGTCTTACGCGCATGCGTAAACGCGACGCATGTGCAGAAAGTTTGTAGCTTTGAGGTCCGGATTATAGATCATTCCGAATTAACAACTTTTGACTGTAACTGCATTTGTCATGAAAGTAGTTTTTGTTTTGTAGTTCTTGCTACAAAAGACTGCCTATTTACATGCAACTTCTGTAGCAATGGCAACATTATGGGATCAATGGAACTGAATCCCTCCATTAAGTCTGGACTTAAAAATCACAATACTGACACTTTCAATGCTGAAAACATAACTGTATAGAAAAAATTTTCTTCAGATGAAAAAAGTCTCTGTAGTGTTAGAAGGCAGATTGCAATGATTTTTTTTCATATCATAAAGGTCTTGTAAAAAACGTAATTCAATGGTCCTCCCCCCCCCTGATTAGCAATCAGCGTACACATATTTTACTTCTATTTTTACAGTAGAACATGTAAATTGTGACAGATGTGTCGTTTGTTCAAAATGATTACTATAGCAATAGCTCATTGTACTTTTTTACCGCATGCATCAAACAAAAATACAAAATCTTACATCATATTTATATCTACTTACTATTTAATAATGATTCTTGTTGAGGTTCAGTATTTGCATTAAAAGTCTGAAGTCTTATTATTTCATTATTATTAGACACTATACCTTCCAACTGGGGGAAAAAAATAGAGATAATAGTAAAATCAACAATGATTTAAAATCATAAATATTTTAAAAAAAAATTATTACATAGAGATAATAGTAACATCAACAATACTTTAAAATCGTAAATATTTAAAAAATTTATTACATAAACTATGCTCAACAAAGGTCTTCTTAAATTATACACAATGATTTAAGGTAAATTAAAATTAGTTTTTATCACATACTACATTTATTTAACTTACGTTTCCTAAAGTGTGTGTTGCAAAAAGTTTTGAAAGGCTCTGTTTCTTGTTGTATAATTACATATTTACCCATAATTATGAATTAATTAGAATTATTGATCGATTTTTATAGTTATGCATATTTATTTATTAGTAATTCATTCTATGTTTTTTCTTTAGGAATCTCCTGTTCCAACTAAAATTCCCTAAAGGGATAAACTGATGTTTTGCTTTTCCCGTGGTGAGGGAAAAATACAGTTAGAACACGCAGGAACATGTATAGATCAGGCACTGTGCCGCGTATGATATTTCATATTTGTTTCAATCATGTTGTTATTGTTTTCAATAAATAATCAAAAGACAACTACTATGAATTAAATGACTCAACACTTCAGAACGAAGATATCACAAATTTGTTGGTGAACGCCGGACGTGATGCGAACCTTCTGATGGAATGTGAACCTTTCTTTGTTTTGGAAGTTTCTGATTCGCGACCATGGAATCGAGGTAGGTCCCTTTAGATTTAGTTCTTGAAGTGTTATGATTTTGTATGTGATAGGAAGTTTTGAAATTATAGTAGTGATTTGATTATTTAGTTGATGTAAATTGATTTGAAATTTAGTTTTGAAAATAGAAGTAGTTTATGCAAACATGGTGAAACGAGTTGAAAGGTTAAGGCAAAAACGAAACTGCATTAGGCAGCTTTTTTGTAATCTTTTGGCGAAAATTGAAGATGCAATAAATAAACCTCTAAGTGAAATTTACAGTAAAGAACAAAAACTTGATGATCTTTATGATCAAAGAAACCAGTTGATTGAAAAGATAAAGAATCTTAAGGGTTTAGATAGTGAAATAGAAACGATAATTGGTATAGATGAGTTAGAAAATGAAATTGCTGAGAGTGAAGAATATCAGGAACGCGGCATTCAATAAAAAACGAAACTAGATAGGCGTATAGAAAGTGCTTTTAACGGGGCTTCGCAAAATGAAATTCGGATTAATGAAAATGTTAGGCTGGAACAACGCGTAGTAAGAACGAACGTAGTGTAGTTAAGCTTCCGAAATTAAGTATTGAGAAGTTTTATGGTGATTGTAGCTCTTGGTTGGATTTCTGGAATTCCTACGAAGTAGCTATTCATAATAACAATTCCTTAAGCAAGGTTGAGAAGTTTTCATATCTGAAAACATTTTTGGGAGGTACTGCCTTATTGGCAGTTTCGGGATTTTCATTAACAAACGAAAATTATGATTCCTCAATTAAGTTGTTAAAAGAAAGATTCGGAAGGCTAGATTTAATTATAAGCTCGCACATGAATAAACTGTTGCTGATTGATTCCGTTAAGACATGCGCGAACGTTTCAGCATTGCGAAGAATGTATGATACGCTTGAGATTAAAATTCGATCATTAAAGTCTTTAGGTGTTGCAGCAGGAACTTATAGTAGTTACTACAGAAAATTCCAGAAGAGCTAAATTTATATTACAATAGACAACGCAAATCGCGTAAATCATTTGATATAGAGCACTTAGTTGAGTTTTTGAGAAAAGAGGTAGAAATAAGAGAAGCGCCTTTTTTATTATCAGATTCAAAAAACTAAACTAAATGAAATTCCCATACAAGTCAACATTATCAGAAAAATTATGCAGACTCAAAATGAAACATTTCAAAAGCGCGCATTCCAACAGCAGGTGATTTAACAGCCGTAGCAAATGAAATGTGTAGTTTTTGTTTGGATAAATCTCACGAAACACATAAATGTCCTTTACCATTAACAGAAAAAAGAAATTCATTAAAATCACTAGGGCGATGTTACATTTGTCTGAAACATAGACATACCTCAAAATTTTGCTGGAAAAAGGAGCAGCTCTGCAAATTATGTAAAAAACCACACAATTATTTAATATGCGATAAGGCTGAACCAACAGATAATGCAGCCGAATCAAATGCTAAAGAAACGGGCAATAATTTATCTGTGGTACAGTCATTGCATTGCGTCGGAGGAAATAAAAGGGAATCTGTAAACAAAACCGACAGCGCAGAAGCGTGGTCCCTGGTTTTACTACAAACATTCAGCGCTATTTTAAAAACAAATAAAAAGAGCAAAATCTTGAGGGTGTTAATAGATGGCGGGAGTAACAGAACGTTTATCAGAAGGAAAACTGCGGACTCATTAGGATTGAAGGCTACCAGATGTGAAACGTTTTAAATATATGGGTTTGGTAGCGAGCGTAAACCTAAACAACAGTATAAAATAATTCAGCTTGATTTGCGGAATAGAACCAACCCAAGTAAAAAAACTCCGCATAAAAGCAGTGGTAATTGATGCGATTACGCATGACCACATAGAAGTTCCTTCAAAGTGGGTCAGAAACATGGCTCTAAGTAAGGGAAGAGAATTGGCCGACATTGGAAATACGAAGGAAATACACATTTTGATCGGCTCAGATTACATTTGGGAAATTTTATATGAAAGAAACATAAGATTAGCGAAACGATTAGTTATTACGGACACTTTGTTTGGGTTTGTAATCCAAGGTAAGGAAATGGGATCGGATAATCATGGCAATTATCAGTATGATAAGACTTGTGTGAACCATATCTCTGTGAAGGAAGAAACAGATTTTGAAAGAGTTAGGAATTTGTGGGACTTGGAGTCTATAGGAATAAAGCAGGAGAAGGAAATTTTGCAATCAGATGAAGATGTCATAGATATGTTTGAAAGAAATACTACGTTTAAAAATGGGAGGTATGAAACTAAATTGTTATGGAAGGAGGGTTGCAACACATTGAACAGTAATTATGAAGTTGCAGAAAGACATTTGATAAGCCTAAATAATAAATTCAGACATGATCCGCATCTGTATTTTCATTATAAAGAAACAATTAATGAGCAGTTAAGGGGTGGTATTATTGAGTAAGTTGCATTTCATGGAGATTGTGATAGGAGAATCGGTTATTTTATGCCTCATCATGCTGTAGTACGTGAATCAAAGGAAAGTACGAAAGTTAGGATTGTGTATGATGCGTCGTCGAAAGTTAGAGATGGGCAGTCATTGAATGATTGTTTAGATAGTGGTCCCAACCTTAATCTAGATTTGCTCAGGAGTATTTTAAGATTTCATTATCACCCAAATGCGTTTTGTGCTGATACTCAGAGAGCATTTTTAGAGATTGGCATAGCAGAGGAGGATCGAAAGTTTTTGCAGTTTTTATGGAGAAATGAGGGGGGAACCGAACTTGATTTCAATGGTCTTGATATCAGAATTTTACGAATGACACGTGTTCCTTTTAGTGTGAAATGCTATACGACTTCATTTAAAGAAATATGAAAATTCACACAGTGAAACATGTTCTATTTTGAAAGAACTTTATGTTGATGACTTAATAAGTGGGGCATCAACTGTTGAAGAAGCGGAATCTCTATCAAGAGACTCTAAATTTATACTGAGTGAAGCAAACATGAATTTACGGCTGTGGTCTTCGAATTTAGCTATCCTTAATCCAAAGATGGAAGGAAACCCAAATGGAATGTCAGACACCATCGAATCAAATAGATATACCGTTAAAGGTATTAGGATTAATTTGGGACAATGATAAGGACACCTTGAAGATAGATCTGAATCAATTTACAAAATTTAAATATGTGACACCAACAAAACGTATAGTTCTAAGTGCATGTGGCATGTTGTTTGATCCATTAGGTTTAATTACACCATTCAGTGTTAGAATTAAATTGATAGTGCAGACTCTTTGGGAAAAAGGCTTAAAATGGGATGAAAATATTCCAGCAGAATTGGAATCTATGTTCCAGGAGTGGTGAAATGAAGTATACCGAGCTTGAGAGGCTTGTCATACCTCGACCATATTTTGACGAGCTGGAGATTCAGCAGCTGGAAGTACACATATTCTCTGATGCAAGCCCAAAGGCATATGGTTCGGTAGCATATTTCAAGATTAAATACCATGACAAATGTGCGACAAGTTTTATAATTTCAAAACATCGTCTAGCTTCACTTAAGAAAATGACTTTGCCGTGATTAGAACTACTAGGAAACTTGATTTCCGTACGATTGTCTGATTATATATGATCCACATTTTCTTCTCTGAAAGAAAGTGACATTTTCATGTGGACAGATTCCACAATATGTCTACATTGGATTAGAGGTGTTGCAAATGATTGGAAGCAATTTGTTCGCAATAGAGTGTTGGAAATCAAAGAAAAAACAAATCCATCGAATTGGAATTTTTGCAACGGAAAGCTGAATCCTGCAGATAAACTTACTAGGGGAGTAAGTGCGCGATCTTTAATTAATGATGAAACATGGTGAAGAGGCCCCTTGTGGCTAATAGAAAGTGATGTTCCAAACAGTAAAGAAATACCGAATGCTGATATTGATACATTTGAGGAGGAAAAGGAGAGAAAAAAAGAACTGTATTGTTTTACCAACATAGGTTGAACGTACCGATAGCTTGTTGAATTTGCACAGATACAGTGACTTATTTAAGGTTCTTCGAATCACTGCATACGTCCTACGGTTTATTAATAACTGTAAGAGAAATTCTGAAAGGTGTAAAGAAGTGTTAACTGCTGAAGAACTCACAAGTGCTGAACGATATTGGATTCGATTTGTACAGCGAAGTGAGTTTGAAACGGATCTTATTAAACTGACACGAAAGGAAACACTTAGTTCCGATTCCAAATTATATGGTCTGAACCCAATCCTGACGGCAGAAGGACTCATATGTCTTGGTGGTAGATTACAACATTCTGATTTTCAGTTTCAAG